GGTTATACAGTTCCCAAAAGGTAGGTCAGAACTGTAAAAGTACCATAGTAGTCTCCGAGAGTTCTATTCGCATCAAACATAAATCTCTCCAGAAGTTTAGAAATAGTTTGAGAATTAGCTAAACCTTGAGGAGATAAAAATGACGAGTGAAAAATTTTGACACTTACCAAAGAGCGTGCAGAAAATTTTCCATGGAGTTTTTTTGTCCTTAACCCTGGATAATTTCAGTCATGCTAGCTCAAAATTATAGTCCGTTCTGTGAAGTAGAAAGTTTCTTCATACTTATGCCCAAGATTAAAATGCCCATTGCTCTTTATATGCTTTATTCCGCCGTTCATTCAGGACCACAACGTATTCTATCGTGAAGCCTTACCTCCAGATAGTCACTATGCCAAAGCTGCAGTTGTATTTCTCCACGGTCAAGCCTATTCCTCATCCACTTGGACGGATCGGGGGTGAGTTTACATCTCCCAGAGTCTTTCTCCCATCCAGAATAGCCACATTTCAGGTCCTTGAGCACTTTTGCAGCTCTCGGATATCATTGTATAGCACCGGATCTGCCAGGATCTGGACAGGTAAGCTCAAGGGTTTTTTGGAGGGGTAAAAAAATGTTTGAGAATGATTTTTTTCTAGACTCGAGGTCCGGCAGTTAGTGTTCATGACAAACCGCAGTTTTTACTTTCGTTTCTTGATGCCATAGGTATCAAGCATGTGAGGCTTCGATTTATACATTTTTTGATTTTTTTAGATTTGAAAAAATTGTTATAGGTTATGGTGGTGGCAGCATCGATGTCAGCACAATACGTTCTTCCTTTGTTAGCTCGTGACATTTTTGTCTGTGCCGTAGGAATTGCCCCATCAAATACCCATGAAATTGTACAACCAGCACTCTATAGGACCCCTATACTTGTGCTTTGGGGTGGGTTTTTCCCCATACTTGCTAGGTATAGGCTCTTGAAAAATTTTTTCAGGAGATCACGACACCTCATTGGGCCCTACAGCCGCTGCAAATCTTCGTGTTTTGCCAAATGCTCGACTTCACAAAATCCCAAATGCTGGTCATGCTTGCTACCTTAGCA